GTCAGGACCAAGCCACTTATCAAAAGAAGAGAGAAAACTATATCAGAAAGACCCAAGACGTACCGTTAGGATCGAAGTAGTGCACAAAATCTTTAGCAAACTCCCGTGCCCGCTGACGATAGCGCTCGGCACGCTCAGGATCAAAGTCACCAGCCAGCTTCGAATAAAGAAGCTGCAGGAACTGAATGGCGAATGAGCCCGAGTAGTAATCCATCTGATGATGACTTTTGGGTCCATCATTGCTCCAGCCTCCGCCAACATGGAAGGTGTCCAGATGGTCCATATCAGCCTCGATACGAGACAAAGAGTACTCAGCGCCATTCTTTCTGAGGCCCAAGTTTGCAAAGACACGGAACCACAACCTGCAATCGTCCCAATCATAATTAGCTAACCCATTCAACCCACGCACCGAAAAAAAGAACGTCCTAAGCAGATCAAGCCATAACATACCAGTTTGTATTCGGCATCTCGCGCGCATTGATACTCGCCAGCCAACTACCAAGATTCCCCCTCTGCTTCTCTGTCAATGGATCCCAAAAGACATGAGGTGCAACAGCAAGCGCAAACCCAATCGGACACATCTCCACCATGCGCTGATCCATATCCTCGATATGACCCCAGAACTCCGGGTGTTCGGGATCAGTCCCGTTGATAATCCCCTGGCGCCAGCGCGAGGCCTCGGCGTATTCATATCCGCCGCCGAGCAGCGAGGCCAGGCCCCATAGTGGACGGGCGTATCCCTCAATCTGGGCACCGCCTTCGTCGAATCGTGTCGTCGATGTGCCTACTTTGACGCGTGTGCCACCTGGTGTAAAGAGTGGTACCAGCGGGTCGAGAATGGCACGACATGCTTCTTGTAGATCGGATCTGTTCCGGAACAAGGATTCGCTGAAGGCATGTGAGGGGGTTCTGCCGTTAGCGTGGATAGACATGGTACGTCTGTAGGCTTGGAGGCTATGAATAGTATGCGCTGTTATGGTAGCTTTATTTTGTTTGATAGGGTGGTTGCAGGTTTTATAAAGATTGTCGTCGGGTTAATTGCCGATTCTTAGTTACTTATTAGGCACTTGATATCGGGGTTCGCATGACTATGCCGATGTATAGTCATTATGGAGGTCATTTTGGTGCGAATCGGAACTCGCTGAGAATGCCGATTTAACAAGTTGGATCTGTGCGTAGTTCTGGGGGGGATCCTGGGGCTGGCGTGGGGTTCGCATTTAGCCGGTCGACGTAACGTGGGGAGATCATCAGTGACAAGAGACTAGTCAGTCCGAAAGAGGCTGTGAGAATCTCATAAGTGGGGAAATTATCGTCCACCAATGAAGGAGACAGGTAATGCAACCAATAATGTGGCTCTTGTCATATAGGATATCATGGTATTATATTTGTACATAGGGTCCAAGAGTATTCAGTATCTATACACGCCACAAATTGCATGGCATCAATGCAATTGGACAGTTAACCCCCCAAATGGCCACCCAAGAATCGGGCCAGCTCTTTCACAAGAGCATCATCGACTGCTTCGGTCTCACCAAGACCCTGCTTTAGAATCTCAGCCCACCGGACCAAGGTAATCTCGTGCAGCTTCTGTCCATTCAGTGCTGAATGAACACGACTGGCTTGGTCAGATGCGGTGGACTCGTCAGGTGAGACAGAGATGTGGCTTTCGACGATAGCACCATGCTGCAGGCGGAGGAATGCACGAGTACTCGAAGGGAGCGAGGATGGCAATGGCGGCCGTTCCCGGGGATCTTCCTCGATCGGGTACGTTGAGAAAGTGAAACGCGGTGTTTGAGCGTACTTCCACTCCAACGAGCGTAACTCGGCAATTCCTTTCCCAATGGCAGGCACCTGCTCGCCTTGCACTTCTCCCACTGTACCAGCAACCCAAGAGTCCCCAGCAAAGACTTCAGGCTCGTTTGCATGAGCACGCTGGGCCCTGAGAACAGCATCGGGATGTACCTCGTAGAGCCGAGCAAACTGCTCGATCACACTCTGAATCACGCTCTGCATGGAAAAGAACGAGTCGGCTAACGCAGTCGAGATATTCCCGACCGGAGAACGAACGCTCTCAACTCCCTTAGCCAGGATATACGGGCGGGCGGATGACCGCAGATACCGGCCAAGGTCATGAATATTTGGGGAATCGAGCAAGCAAGTGCCGTGGTGGAGGGCTCGGTGTCGAGTGAGCTTAAACGCAGAGCCAGACACCTTGCGTGTCAGAGGCTCGTTTGGATCGTTTTGCATTTCCTCTGCTCGGGCCATGACAATATCATGTCGCTCATTGACGCTGGTGTTGGTAGCCCCGACCTGATGAAGTGCGCGCACCACCATCTCGGCATGCTTGTCGCGCGTAAACGAGGTACGCGGGCATATAACGCTGTAATTTAGGTTACCTTCATCGTGGAAGACAGCCCCGCCGCCTGATCGCCGACGCACAAATACTGCAGCTTCATCTTCTCCCGTCGTGCCGTTCCTGCGGTCATTATAAAGTGCGCGGAGATCCGTCTCAAGCCATGGGTTCTGGTTGCGACCAATGACTACACATGGTCGATTGGCATAAAGAAACAAAATGCTGGACTCTGCTGGGGCATTTTCTAATAGGAAGTGTTCGATCGAAAGGTTCACGTAGGGATCTGTTGATAGCGATTGGTAGATCTGGTGTAAAGAGGAGGGACGGCTGGCGAGCTCGGCGAATTGGTGAGCGGGATATGATGAATTATGGCGAATCCAGCCATGCTTTAGTGGGTTATTCCAAAGTGCCGAAGACGAGGAATATCCTCGAAGGGCGAGCATTGGAGCAAGGGTGGACGAAGTTATCGATCGCATCACCAAAGTTATGGGCCGATAGTCGGTTGCGCTAGTCCCAGATAGGAATTCCAGCGATGAGTCGATTTCCAATTTCCTTTTTTTCTACTTGCGGTCAGTCATCACCTTTGTTTTCTCCTCCTATTCTACTGTTTGTATTGATCTCGGGGTCTTTGAACTTATCCTTTTACTTCATTACCTTGCGACCATCTTTCAACGCCCATCATGTCGACGTGGGGTCAATATTTCCGTGTCACCACGTAAGTTGCCCACCCCCACCACACACATCACTACTAACACCCACGATTTAGTTATGGCGAGTCCCACTGTCGCTCCGTCGGCTGTATCGTCGATGGATGTCCTCCGGGCCTAGAACTCACTGAGGCCGACATCCAGCCTCAAATGACCCGGCGCCGTCCCGGCCAAAGCGCCCTTACTACCCCGCGAGACGAGAAGGACCGAGTCGAGATCCAGTCAGGCACAGAGTTCGGTATCACTCTGGGCACACCAATTGCCATGGTCGTCCGCAATGAGGATCAGCGTCCTAAGGACTACGGCAACAGCACAATGGACCTGTACCCCCGCCCTAGCCATGCCGACTTCACCTACCTTGAGAAGTACGGCGTCAAGGCCAGCAGCGGCGGTGGTCGCAGCAGTGCCCGTGAGACCATTGGTATGTTATGTGTAACCATCAACATCATAAATGAGCACTCTCGCTAACCAGACCCCTATAGGCCGTGTCGCCGCCGGCGCGATCGCCGAGAAGTTCCTCAGCCTGGCGCATAACATCGAAATTGTCGCCTTCGTCTCCTCCGTTGGCAACGAGCACCTCTTCCCCCGACCCCCGAACACCCCTCCCCCTCCACGAACCCGGAATTCCTTAAGCTGATCGAGACGATTGACCGCAAAACCGTCGACTCCTTCGCACCTATCCGATGCCCGGAAACCGCCGCCGCCGAGCGCATGACCAAAGTCATCGAGAAGTTCCGCGACAACCACGACAGCATCGGTGGAACCGTAACATGTGTGATCCGCAACGTGCCAGTTGGACTTGGCGAGCCCTGCTTCGATAAGCTTGAAGCTAAGCTCGGCCACGCGATGCTCAGCATCCCCGCGACCAAGGGCTTCGAGATCGGCTCCGGTTTCGGCGGCTGCGAGGTTCCCGGCTCAATTCACAACGACCCCTTCATCGCCGACCAGACCGCAGGCAGCCCCCGCCTCACTACCAAGACTAACAACTCTGGCGGTATTCAAGGTGGTATCTCCAACGGCGCGTCCATCTACTTCCGCGTCGCGTTCAAGCCCGCTGCTACTATCGGCCAGGCGCAGACCACTAGTACTTACAACGGTGAGGAGGGTGTCTTGGAGGCCAAGGGTCGCCACGATCCTTGCGTTACCCCCCGTGCTGTCCCTATCGTTGAGGCTATGTCGTCGCTCGTTGTCATGGACGCTCTCATGGCTCAGTATGCCCGTGAGGGTGCTAAGAACTTGCTTCCCAGAAAGCCTCAGACTATTCCCACCCACCCTGCGACTGGTGCTCCTTCGTCGTAGATGGGAGGAAATCTGACAAGTTATATTAAAAATTTTATATGCAAGCGTCATTAAGAAGGATCATGCCTGAGTCTATTATATACGTTTTCGATGCATCATGGAGCTACAAAAGTGTTATATAGATGCCATATTCATGCATTTACCAATCTCGGGATATCCTACATCCTCGTCTTCTAGAAATATCTAGCGTATGAAGCTGTCTATGTGAGAATTGCAGTTACCACTAAAGGCTCAATAAATCTTAAAGCAAGACATCAATTTTGGACTCGCTACCTAATCCAACGAACGCTACTCTCTAGCGAAGAGTCATAAAAAAAAGGGAAACATTGATTCATCAGAACAATCATCTCATCTCATCTCGGAACGTCATCAAAACATTGCTGTGGATATCAAAACGACAGAAAACAGCAGCCACCCACAAAGAAACGGTGTGACAAAAAGTAAAGACGCCAACGAAGCGAACAAAAGCTCACACGCCCAAGTTGTGTACAAACGACGCAATGCAATGAAACACAACACATCTCCAGGTGTCTCTCATAGATGCAGACACCAAACCTCACCTTGGAAAGAAAAAAGGAACATGCAAAAGTACAAGTGAGAAAGTAAAACAAAAAAGAAGAAAAAAACCCCAGATCTCAGATCTAGGAGCTAACCCTCCTGTTCCCAGTGCCCCAACTAACAGAGCGTTCAGACGTACTATCAATATCGCCAGCGGTAGCATTGACGACACGGAGTTTCTCTCGAGGAACGGTGAAAGTCATCTGGACTCGTCTGCCTTCAGCAGCACCCTCCAAGTCCCAATCATGGACATCTTCCTCGTCATCCCCGAAGCCAGCTTCGTCACCCAGGTATCCGGGTGCGCCGACGAAAAGATCATCGCATGTAGACCGGGCAGTGTTAAACAAATCATCAGAAACACGCTTGCGCGCGTTCCAGTCTTTGGCACCCTGCTTGCGGCGGAATAACTCTGCCGAAGCGCTGACTGCTCGGCGCGGCGTGCTAGGACCCGAGCTTTTGGATTGATGGCCGGATCCTGCTAGCGTGCTGCGGCGGTCAATGCCGGAGGCGTGGTGCACTGTGCCAGTGGTACTGGCATCGGAGTATGACTCGCTGTCGGGGCTGCGGCGGGTCATTGTTAGGGCTCGGCGCATGGTGTTCATTACCCAGTCGGAGGCTTTGGGTTTGGATTCTCGGGGTAGTTTTGAGGGGGATGAGGGTGCGGGTTGGTCGAGGGCGTCGAATAAGAGGGACTCGTTCTCTGACCGGCGGTGGGACATGTTTGTCTGGGCTGTAGAGTAGGAATCTGCTGATGCTGATTTCTCTGAGGGCGCTACGCCGTCTGGGTCGCTGTGTGTTGAGGTTGCGGCGATGTATTCCAGTGATTGGCGCCCGCTGCCCCAGCTCAAAGGTCGATCCACAACGATGCCTCGTGCTTGGTTGACCTTGCCTACAGGCTGGGTGGACGGGAAGGAGAAGGCTGAGTTGTCTGACAGGTTGGTGGCTGTTCGATCGCTTTTTGTTGGGGACTCGGCATCCACAGATCCAATATCCTTTCGCCGGCTGTAGAAAGGACCTAGGCCAACACCAAATATGGTGCTCCGAGGAGTTGCGTAGGGGGTATCTGAGAAAGGGTCTTCGGGCTCCATCATCTTAACCGTGGGTCCTGTTTCAGCTGGGATGGTTGCCATGAGATGTTCTCGGAAGATCGCTTCATCTTCCTCGCGTTCATCAATAGGGTGGATATCACCAGTCGCATCACTGCGCCGGTATTCACTGTTTCGATATGAGAATGGCCTATTATTCACTGGGGGTATCACAGGGGGTCGGTTATTCTTGACTGGACTGCTAGGGTCCATCAGCAGGCCAGTCCTCTCTGCCGTGCCTTCGCTCTGATCATCCCAGTTTGGCCGTGTCGTCTGGCTCCGATTTGCTGACCAAGGATACATGGGGGCATCCCTTTTTCGCTCATTCCAGAACTCCGAATACTGCTTGCTTGGGTTGGACAATCTCGGGCCCAGAAGTGAGCTCGTTCTGCTCCCAAAGCAAGTTCCCGTAGCTGCGAGTCTCGCTTGCCCTTTACGCGGCGCTTTCGGTGGTAGTTCCATCCGCACAAAACGATGGCCACAGCAGCGGGGCATCCAATGCCCAGTCCAACCCCTAAGCCGGCCTTTTGGGATGATGAAAGCTTATTGGAATTGGAGGACGCATTCGACGAACTTGCTGCAGGATTGCGGTAAGAGGTGACCCAGCTGCTCGAAGTCACATTGTAGAGGTAGACCCGCGAGTTGGACAGTGTAGTTGCTGAAGCCCGTTTCGAGGATGGTTTCGGAATATTGTAGCCTCCAGAAATCATCATCACGTTCCCAGGGAGCATTGCCGCTCCATGCCCAAAGATACCAGCACCCTTGGCGATCCCCAATCCTTCAAAAGAGGGTGCTGTCCAAATCCATTCTGTGGCTCCGCCAAACCCTTCTGCAAGGTTCAGAACTGCAAATTGTGGCTCGGCGGGGACAGTCATATCGCCCACCCAACCTCCAAATACAAACACTTTATTGCCATCTTCCGAGAGAACGGCAGTGTGGCCGGAGCGAGGCTCAATAGAAACCGTATCCCGAGCAGTCAGCTCAGTCTTTGATGTCGAATTCGAGGTTGCAGAAACAAAGCTCCAGCTTTGCTGTGGCAGCGAGAAAATGGCAAGTTGTGACATGTTAAGGAACGCCTGCTTGGTATGACCACCAATAAACAAAAAGTCCTGCTGTTTCCCCGTAGACCCGGCAGCATAGGTAGGCTGGAGCGGCACAACGGCCATTCCAGCCTCCGCGACGGGCGGTGCGCGCTTGCCAGTAGTGGCAGCGGTGAACTTGGTGCTGTAGTAGGGACTCGGGCCTAACACAACCGTTGATTGGGAGTAGTTGGCTGCCGAGACCCATGTTTCGTCTGTGCTGTTCGCGAATGGACACATCCCACCAAAAGCGTACATAGAGCTCTCATCTTCGTGGCGGGATGCCGAATATGTGAACGCTGCCGTCAGGTAATTCGGTGCGGTCTTTGCGTCGCTGGGGATGACTGGCAGTCTATCCCATGTCCCATTGCCGATTGAGTTTTTGCTATTTGGGTGGAACTGCCATAGTACCGGATTATCAGATGCGCTGTGACAGTTGCCCGAGTAGACTGTGATCAGGCCTTGATCATTGATGGCAGCAATGAAGCTCGAATTCTGATCAGAACTGTAGAACGGTGTGCTCTTCAGTAGGGTTTGGTAAGATAGATTCTCAGCGTCGATACTGCTGGATAGGTTGAGGGAGACGAACTCGGTTTGACCAGTGGAGCTAGGTCGGAGGATGTACGCGAGGGAGTCATTGTGTTGTGGGGAAAGGAAAACGGAAGATGGATTGTATGGGATCGCAGTAGAGGGATCAACTAGCGCAAGAAGCGCAAGTAGGAATGTCTTTGCTTTTCGGTGCTTCATGTTGCGATCTGAGACAATCAGGAGCAGGGATACATGCCAGGATCGGCGAGCATGGCGTGCCACGCGAAGATCTATTTTCGGACAGTACAATGTAGTTAAATTTTGACAGGTAACATCAACGTGTTGATATCAAGGAAAAGGTAGAGAAGCAAAAGAGATATTGAAGGGGTAACATTGAACACCATAGGAAGTTTAGCAAACTTGTTTACGATCCGAGCTGGGCCTCTCTGTATATTACCAGACCAATCATTAATTGTACCAAGAATCACTTTTTTCTTCAACCGACTTTATTTGGTCGCTCTAAACAAAGAAAGAGGGAACTTAATGGATCGAGACTTAGATCGACGCGGGATCAACCTCGTTGCTCGGCAACGGTGGGTGATTGCGTGTTTTTCATGTGAGAGGATACACACTAAACGAGTGTTCTCCTATGCAACGCATAGTGTATTTCAAGCCATGTACAGCCATGTACATCAGGCAGTAACATTAAAACTTGATTTATTTTGATTCACGCGATTAGTTTAATTAATTTAATTACCTACGTAACTTGATTTGACCTTCAATCTTAAAATTTGACTTATCAAGATTCCCCATGTGGGCCTTTACGAGAGCGGGTATCAGATGTGTCTCAGAGCACCTTAACACATGCATAAAATTCAATCTTGACAGCGGCCCTAAACGTGCATGTTCCCCCGCTGAGTAATGGAATTGAGGTTAGGCAGAAAGGGAGCTAAGAGACTATACAACCCACCTTTAAAGGCGTTCTAGTCAGGGTCTATTTCGTGGATGCGAGAAGCCCTAATTTCACCATTGAAGTGGAAGTCGTAAACGAATGTATCACTTCAGGGAACAGATGTGGAGCCTTTCTTATAATCCAAATGTTGGAAATTTCATTTGATTCTTTTCACCATACAGCCAAATACATAGTAGCTAAGGCTAACAGCTTGTCAGCCACGGCAAAGATGATAAAATGATCACCCTATTCCTCCGGCTGCTGGTGGGCAGATCGACCTCCCTTCCGACCTGCCTCCTTGGCTCTAGGGCTTCCTGGCTCGAATTTTCCACGTGAAGCGTGACCGCCCTTCGAGGCAATCTCTCTCTTTAAAGAAAAGAAATGTGAGTTTGCTTTATCAAAATAGATATAGAAGCTGCTTTTACTAACCTGCTTATTGGTATCCATAGAAGCAAATCCACTGTGATGGCTAGACTGTCCACCTTTTCGAGCAATTTGCTCGACCTCTTCGTGAGGTCGGTTGTGGAAGTTACCGGGGTTGGGGTTGTCGACCATTGTGATATGTACGAAGTTGTAATATGTGATTGCAAATAGTTTGAAGTATTGAACTGTATAATTCCATGCTAAATTCACGGCGTATTTATATATCTAACTATATCTAACGCCACGAAGTGGCTTTTGCCAGATGGGATGGATGGAATCACCTTGACGTCTATTCAACCCCAGCCTTGCCATATTTCAACGTTGCCTCCACTGAACACTTTCCCATGGCTTCACCACGATCCATCTGGGGAAGTTTCAAGGAATATTATCAACCATACGAAGAGAATGATGGGGCCAAGTTCTATTGATCTCATGTGTGTATGTAGGCTCAAGAGCAGGAGCTTCGTGTCGAAGGAAACCGCGCCACTATGATGTAAACGTATATTTAGTTGTCGAAAATTAGATCAAAATGCCAAGAGGATCAATCCTCTCTGCCATTGTATTCAACAAGATAAGCACATATAATCTCATATTAGATAAAATTCAAGACCAAGTCAAATGTTCAACCTTGGAAGATGTTCAAAACCAGCACAGAGCATATGACCTCAAACATAGACAGTATGTAGTTAAAATTAGGTATTTATATATGTTTGCTAGGTTTCTAAGGACAGATATAAAAATCACAAAATTAATGAGCAACATTGGCTTGAATGATAAATTTCAGTGATAAACTCGACAGAGCCACTCAGAAAATCCGATCTAGGCGATTCATCGCTTACATGAGTCCCCCAGTGTGTATTTCCACTCATGATGCAAATTGAATCTCACCTCTAGGTCCACTCATGGGCACAGAAGTTAATCGAAGGAAGGCAAGAGGTACTGGGGTGGATCTGGGCTGGTGCCAATGATATTGTGTGATTTCCCAGACCCAAGTCCTACCTGGGCAGAGTCTATGTCGATTTTCGTCACGTCGCCGTGATTGTGGATTGTATAATTTTACCCAACTTTGTGGATCACCACCTTAATCCAAGGTAACTAATAAGCAAACGAAGAATCAACATTGGTTGACATATAACATATACGATAATGAAGTCGATCAATAGCATTCGAAGTTCACAATGTCCCGGAGAGAATTATAACGAAATTGATGCAGCCTCCAAGACTCATACCAGCGAAGTTTATTTCGTGGAGGGATTAGGCATTCCAGAAGTATCCGGCCACTTACGGAAGAGGTCGGCGAGATGATCGATTGGCGCCGTTAGAAGCCCCACAACTGTCTCGTACGGAGGCTTGTCTGGTGTACTAGGGTGAGAACGCGAAGGGACGAACATCTTCGTTCGGCCAAAGCTCTTAGAGCAGCCCTCGCTATCCTCTTGAGACAGGGCTTGCTCCAGTTTAGGTAAATCGTCACTCTCCTCCTCCTTGATATGTTCGGAAAGGTTATCCATCAGCTCCCTGATAGTAGGCACAAACTGCGTATCTGACGGTGTCATGTTTTGGAACGCCTTCAGTTGCGTTTTTACCTATATCCATTACATCACGTTAGAACCATGATAGGTAGCAGAGGAGCTTGACTTACTTTCAGGTGCTGATCACGGTCCTTATTGGCCATTGCTACACCATCGGAGAGCACTCTTTCAAAGAGAGGATAAACAATAAGCTCTTCTCCAATGGAGTGTCGAGCTAGTTCCCAGGCAAACAGATTCTGGAAGCGGGTCTGTTCATCCTCGTCCTTGGAGGTAATTATCTTACCATAATATGATTCGATCTCCCGGTGATCCTTCTTGATAGTGTCGATGATGCGGGGTGTCATGGTGGTAGCTGTTGCAATTCCACGTCTCTGAGTAACGCGTAACACGAGTTGACTGAAATGAGGGCTTCTTGATGAATGAATGGCAGAAGTCATTGTGGCTTTGGGAAAAAAATTTGCCCCAGCAACCACAGCAGGCTAGAATGTGGTCTCCTTATACCAAACGTAATTGTAATAAGAGTTAAATTCAATTCAAGCCCTCATTTGTCTATATGCGTGCTAGATCACTCTTACGTGAAGTAAATACATGTAGTATAGTAATGCAAGAATGATGTTTGCTGCATTGTTATTCAAGCCTAGACAACCCCGAAATGGTAGATTTATCTTACGTCTAATGGATGTAATAAGCGTGCTAGAATGCGAGGGACTCACATGATCTTGGCTAATTATGATATCATATGTGATTCGAGTAGTTTCCTTACTTTGTATCCTAGGGTCACAAGTCGCCGTATCAATTTCTGGGGGAAAGCTATACGATGACTGATTTACCCGTCATATTTGAGTCATCAATGCGCTCGTGGGCTCTCGTTCCCCTAGGTGCAGAATACCAGCTACGAACAAGCGCCTCGTAGCTGGTTCAGATGTAGAGGCAACTTTTTGGTCATCCATATCATAGTATTAATAAGTTCATAGGATAGATTCTTTAATCCTAGCTGACAAGTGAGTAGGTGCACCAATTTCACCTCCAGGGTTGGTCTGGGTACTCACTAAGCATGCCCTGAGCGTTCACGAAGTATCCATAGATCATATGACTGCTTATTACCCTTAGTAATGTATACTTATAGATGAAATAATGAAAGTAGCGACACCCCAATTAGGCAAGCGAAAATCATGTAGGTCGAGTATTAGCCCAGAGTAGGTACAAGTCTGACTATGAACGGGAAGATCCATGTCTAAGCATGGACTATGCTCTACAGTCCCGATGGAGCTAGTAGTGTAAGCAAATGACTATCCCGCTTATTCAAGGCACACAAAACGGGACCCGTGCATGGGAAAACACTCGAACAGACTGCGTGAGCTCGGCGGCTACCGTCGTCAGTCACCGGCTTTTAGGCCTGCCGAGTCTTGGAGTACGAGAGGGAAGGAAAAAGCAAACATAAGTAGAAAAGTTAGTTGACTTCAGTCAGTCGATCTTTGCGAGTAAATGAGATCGGTGAACAGGTGGCTTAGCTTTGTTCGGCAATGATAGGCAAATATCGAATACTTTGTGATCGTGCACTTTACCTCCATATAGACTATAAATGGGTTTCCAAGACAAGAGAGTCGCTATTTAACTATGGACTTTTATATAATCACATGTGGAAGCCAGAGATCCAGAGATATAAACAGGGCTATTCTAGTTTATTATTATTTAATACCAAGCATCTTTGATGCTTACCAAAACCTCAAAACTATCACAGAGTAGATATCAACCGAGCACAATGATCTAAATTAAACTACATCGCACCATGGCCTGCGCACCAACACCATGTACAATAGCGCCTTATCCACGGATGTCTAATGTCCGGTACCGAGCACAGCCAAATTTCTAATTCAGCTCGACGTTAACACAGAGTAATAAGGGACTAGCGCGTGGCACATACCCGGTCAACCGGGACTCAATCAAAGACAGTAGAGCGAAAAACATTCTTACCCCTTTCGTCATACAGCAGGATCAGCACGAGCAATTTCCCTCAATGAGTATCAGTGCAGATCCCGAATTGGATGAGGGATGTGGGATTGGGAATAGAATTGCGCCTGGTGAGCAGAGGCGATGCTCGTCTTCGTGTGCTTTGGTCGCTTTTTGGGGTGCAGGTGGCGCTCGGGGACTGTAGGTACTGTAGGTACATGCGTCCTGGAGAAAATCAACTAATAATTTAAACCTGGATATGGAATAGAACGAAACAAAAGATAGAATATCATGCGAAATAAGATTTATTATTTTATCGAAACGGTCGAGGTGTAGCCAACCCGGGCAATTGCCCATGATACTTCTGCCTCTTGATCCTTTATAGGATTAGGTCGGTTTGGAATCGCATGCATCGGCGCCGGAGATGGCTTCAGAGCGCGTTGTGTCGGATGTTTAGGCCGAACTTCCACAGCGCGGGGCAAACTGTACAACAATTGTAATAGTGATTGGCGCTTTTGGACGCTCTACCCCTGTACTGTAAGATGACTATTATTGCTGAGAATGCGGCATATAACCATTGACCAGCCCGTCTTCCACATGCAACGACAAGGGTGTTTGCTCTAATCCACTGGAATACGTCCTCGAGTGAGGAGTAGACCGATGTACCTCTTACGAACAGGCTAGTATAACTAGTTCGGGTAGCGTCTGGGGTAGGTAGACTACGAAGTATGCTCATTAAAACCCCCGCGGCCATCCTTGTCTAGTTTGGCCCCTTTTTCGCCAGTCGATCGAGTAATCCCCCGCACCACCGTAAGTTGTGGGGATTGTTTGAGCGGAGAAGAATGTCTGAGCATTTGTGATTCTTGTGCTCATAAGAGTTATCATGGAATATCCATGGATCATACCTGATGCAGACAATATAAGTCAGCAAATTACCTATCATACTTGGGATGTCCACGCCACAAGAGAACAATGTGTGCCAATCACAGTATGTATCCGGGACATAATAAAGTGCCAAGATGGCATCCCTATTATGTATGTAGTTTGAAACTTGCTATTTCGTATACCAAATCAGAATGAAGGCTAATTAGGGGGGCCAGACCCCAATATGACGTCGAGTATAGCGCACTGATACTCTGACGCACAGACGACGGATTTTAGTATTTCCTGCCTAAAAAGAGCTTCATGCAGGACGCCTCCCGAAGACTGGGGGTATTCTGTAGTATTATAGTATTGTATAGTGTTACAGTGTAATTCATATATACCTATATATATATATAAGCACATATGTGTGATATATATACAAGATGTTGGATGTTGGAATGTAGTATCCAAGCCGAAAAGAACGGAAGGTCCATCCATGGACACAGTTTTGCCTTTTTCCTACCTCAACTGGTTGGGACGAACTACAAGAGAAAAAAAAAAAAAAAAAAAAACCTCCATGATACAGATTCCGGTATCGAGGTACAGCAGTTCGGGCAGAAGTTTGAAGGTGCCGAGTTGGACTTCATACGATTGGAGGTAAAATGATATATAACCCAGGACCGGAGTAACCTGGTCTCAAGAGCCTACCTAGGTATAGAAGAACTCTCTGTCGGAGCCGAGGGAATCAAGTTCCAAGAAATCGGAAAATATTATAAAATAAAAATAAAATAAAATAAGAATCATCATACGTTGGGCAACCATGGTCGGCCATTTCCTTGGGCATTTTCACGATGGCTTCTAGTCTAGACTTATTATGCCTATGTACTTGCTGCAATCTGTCAATTCCTCATAAGAGGACGGGAGAGTCCTCGACGTAAAGACCCGAAACCCAGTGGCAAATCCAGAACATTAACTACATAGTCTACACAGTCAACATAGTCTACATATTTAATCTATAGAAAATACTACTAAGTATTTAGATCGTTTATAAGAGCATTCGAATATCAAGATGTTAGATTAATCTGCAAACAGCCCGGAATTCCAGAGCTGACAGCCCCACCAGGTATATATTGATATATGGATAAAAACCTTGTCAAATTTGATATCAATACTACGATTAATTTACCAAAGTAAATCAATTAAACCCCTTCAAAATTATAAGTTCCATCTTAAATTTTTTTTTTAAAAAAAATCAGCTTGGCTCAAATTATTCTGATTGATTTTGGTTCTTGGCGTCCCGATCATCGCTCTGCCCTATTACCCACCCAACCTCCCCCTTCGACTCTTCAACTCTCCCCTCTTGTCTCGTTTTCTCCATCTGTTTCTCTTTCTCTTTTTTTTTTTTTAATTAGTACAGCTTCTTGGCTGTCTTGCCTTTCCTTTGGACATTACTTTCGGATCTTTTATTCCTGATTGATTCCGATCTCGCTGTCCCCCCCCACCTCCATCCCCGAGAATTGGCCATCCGAATGAGCCTAACCCCAAATTATTTATAGCATCTGTTGCAACGGCACTCCTTTTTTTTGACGAAATCCCCACGTGTGGATGTGGGATCGCCCAAATCCTCGTGCAGTAGCAGGTCTACCTCGTGTCTTCCCCCCCAAGGCGACAACCCGCTGTCCGGTACACGGTTTCCGTTGCTCAGTTGTCGCCATCCCTATTGATCTCGCAAAAGTAATGCCGACCTGTTCGTGCGTGCCAACAGAGCTTTTTGTTGTCAGCTCACCTTGAATCAATTATTACGAGGGAAACCCCCAAAAATAAAAGTGTCGAATTGGACGATGTTCAACTAGGATGCTCAACTGTACTCTCGGCACAGCTGCCTCGGCCCCCTCCCTCTGAAATAATGTCACAAAAGAAGGAAGAAGGGAATATGACGGAAATTCGGTCCTCGCAAGCTGGTCTGGAGGATCCGGATCAGCTGGCTCGGAATGGTCGTGTCCCAAAAAATCATAGGCGGAATCTCAGCCGGTCCGATGAGTCCTCGCAACTACCATCTGCATCGAACGAACCCGAGTCTCGCCCCCCATCCAAATCATCCGCCGAACAACCTCCCATTATCACCGATGTGTCGGAAGCCACCGCCACCTTCCGTCAGGCCTTCCCCGGCCTTTACGGTGCTCGGTCCCCCTCGAATCGCTCGTCGTCGAGTTCTCTACAAGCCCTCAACGAAGGTATCGTGGTCGATGTCCGATCAGAAAGTGGAAGCATTGGAAGGGGCACTCGACGAGCCTCGAGACACTCAGATCATCAATTACCAGTTTACCCCGATCAATCCTATGCCTCCCTCCAGTCTCAGGTGCATCCCACCTGGCAACCACCCCACCTCACAGAACCAGATCCGCTACCCAGACACTCCTATACCCGTGGTATTCGGACCGCGGGCAACACTCCGCTGTCGAGCCCGGGGCTCTTCTCCATGAGACACTCTCGCATGGGAACGCCATCCGTGTCGGACGATGACGTCTCG